CTAAACATTGTTACTTTATTTGATTTTTTCCTATCACCGTGTAGATTGTCTTTTCTTAACATTTTCATTATTATGCTAAGCAATAATTATCAGTAATAGAAAATTCTTTAAAAGGGTGGATGTTGATTATGATGATGAGGATATCAGGGAAAACAGTTTGATCACAAATGCTGTTGAAAATATATCCCATTGCTATACAGAATGAAACAACAGGCAATCATTACAAGTGCTCTCCTCAATAGGAAAATGTACTGTTCTCTCCGTCATATTCGCAATTAAAGATTAGTCACAACCTTAAACTAAATATTAGTTACGAATGTGAACTCTTTCATGACAACAAATAGCTGGGAGGGACTAGCTGAGTTTCAACAATGGCATTTAGAATTAAAAATTCAGAGGATCGCAAACATGCCCTTTTCCAACATCTTTCATTGTTATTTTAAGAGTCTGCATGGGAGGTCCCGATCGCGCTTTGCATGCTAAATTCTGTAAGGCAGCGACCACGATCTACATTTCTTCAGGTTAGTTTCATGTAGATTATTTAAGTTGTTCAGCTTCAAATTATGCAAAATTGAAATAGCAAGGTGCAGAATGCTGCAAAGCAACGACCACGTATTACAGTTCACATTTTGTACTGGCTGGACGTTTTATCACACAGATGACAGTTTAATGGTGAATAGATTGATCAGACTTTCTTTTATGCATACCTAAAATAGCTGATTACGCTTTACGGCATGCAGACCCATTTTTGAAAGAGTTTACGAATAAAAGCCAACTCACAGTCGAGTCCGATGTTCTCTTCTTTTGTAGATAGGTGACAGGTAACAGGTCCCTCAGAAACACAGGCACATCTTCCTGGAATTCCATGATATTAAGACAGGAACACAGGATAGCTGACAGGTCCCACAGCACACACAGGAGACAGGTCCCACAATGTCAGCTATACATTAGCAGCATCTCATTTCATTTCATTTATTTCATTTATTTCGAAACCTTTTAGCCCCGAAGGGCTAATCTTCCAAGGCTCAAACATTATAGCAATTACAACATAGTGGAAACATTTAAAAATACATACATACATACATGTACACCACATTAACAATAAATACACATAGATATAAACAATTTAAAAGTGGCGAGCAAGGGTCAAGGATCAGGTGACACTACTACTGTTTGAAACGGCTTTCTTAAAACTGATAACATCGCACAGTGTCTTAACGTCAGATGGTAAACGATAGATGGTAGACGATAAACCGGACAGTGAGTGTGAGTGAGTGGTAGATCGTTCCAGAGCACGACTGCACGATACAGGAATGAGCGTTTTCTGCTGTTGGACTTAGGTATTGGTAATCTAAAGTTATGTGCGGAAGATCTGGTATTATGACTGTGAGATGCATGAACAGGCAAAAGGGAGTTGTAAATATTTTGTGGTTCGTGACTCGTGAGGATCTTAAAGAACATGACCAAAGTGCTTTTCAAGAATCTCTCTCTCACAGTCGGCCAACCAAGATCTAGATGCATGACATGCATCTCAAGCCTGGGGTGTGAAAGAAATACACATTCAGAAAATCACAGGCCAAATACATGTGTCTAACAATTACTTACAGAGCATCATCCATTGCAACATTTGTTTGAGTTCTAAAACCTGCTTTGGGTTAGGGGCAAGGTCTGAGTGGGGAAAATGAAGAACAGAGCAAAACTGCCTCAACATTCAATCAGAAGTAAACATATTAGGTAAACATAGAATATCATGACCATGGAAAAATCACATGAAGTACATCTCACATAAAATACCTCAGAACAGTCAACAACAACACACAGAATGCTATTCAAACATCTGATGAGTTCAACAGCATTCAAACACATCTCACATTGACTGAACATTATGGGAAACGATAACATGCATATAAAACAGTAAAAAAATTCAGGAAACAGATGAAGAAAAACATATGAGGGTCTTGATGGACAACAAACTCAACTTTCACGCAAATTATGCAGCAATACATGGAACTGATGGTGAGTTCAGCACCAAGGAGAGGATCACACTTATAATATTAACAAATGGGGGAGGGGGGCATCCACAACTTGGATGTACATGCATGTAAACACTTGCTGTGGCTGAAGGTATCCAGGAAAGCCAACCGAATGCTGGGGGGTAGTTAAAAGAGAGCTTTCCACAACCTTGACACAAGGACAATAACGTTACCACTGCTGTAAAAGTCCAATTTAGTTCGACCTAATCTGAAATATGCAAATGTCATATGGGGGCCTTATTCCTAAGCTGGATCAGCGGGAATGCATTGGAGAAGATGCAAAGAAGGGCCACCAAACTGCCAAGAATAGAGAAAGGGTAGTTTCTATTGGTGCTGCGTTTTCTACATCTGCGTCATGTACATCAGCATTGTAGCTCATTTTGTACCGCACAACAGCACACAACCAAGTTCTGTCACAGCCGCGACCTGATTGGTTTAATACTGTGGACAGGAATGATGATGATAGACACGTCACAACTAAATGTAAAGTAAACGCTCAATCTTATTCTAAAGAACCATTCTGATGATGAAATCCTACTGATATTGAAAATTCTACCCCAGAAGGAAGAATATTATCCGTAACGTCTACAGTACGACGCGATTTTTGACGGATGTTTCCATTTTCAGAACGCAGATCACAGGTTCATTCCTCCCATGCGTTCGAACGCCATGTTTACTCGTGTTGCCATGGACACGGGTTCGAATGCATTCTACACATTCGACAAGTTTCGTGCTCACGAACCAGGTGGGGAAGTTTCTCTCTCCCGTTTTAGGTGAAAAATATACCGAGACAAATCCTAGAAAAGTCGCAAATCTCAGTCATATGTTACGTGTGAGTGCTGCTTACATGTCGTTAAGGCTGATAGACCGCACAACGTGTTAAAATATCTGTCGAAATGAAGCACAAAAAGTTTGCACAGAGGGTTCTAAACAATCTAGTCATCGCAAGGTCACATAAGATTCCCTGGGTCATTATCGTTTGTACGGACATTTTACACGTACAGGAAGAAACTGTCCTAAACAGGTTATTGAGTTATCCTCCCTAAAGTACTTTTCAACAAATGCCCCTGCAGTTCCAGAGCAATCCGCTCGGGGACCCAAACTTATGTCACTTCTCCCCCAGCACAAGACTTACCTATCATCCAAATCTCGTGTCCCTAGTATGTCTAGATCAAGAGATATCAACCCGGACGTTCTGCTGCAGTACCATATCAAGCCGCCAGGGGGCCCAAAATCCAACTATTTCGAGGTCTCATCAAGACCTACAAGTACCCACCTACGAAATATCAAGACAATCCATTTAAGCCTTCTCGAGTTATCGTGTTTACAGACACACACGAACGCCTCTGAAAACGTAACCTTCTTGGCGAAGGTACGAATGTAATAAAACGAGCGTATCTAATGTATTGTCATGTTAGTTAAAGCGGACATATGAAAAGGCGCCCCCGAACGGCGGCTTTACTAAGTGCAGGTTTAAACACAGGGAATCGTCACCGGCGCAAATAATTCCCGCCATACTGTATTTTAGCTTCATTTCATTGCAACAAGTTCGGCCCAAATAGTCACGAGAACAAAGGACAATGTTAAATGCGACTCACCACCTTAAACCGACGTAGCTCGTCTTAAAAGACGAATTTTAACCACCGAGTTCTTCCCTGTCCAAGCATCGTGACTTGCCATCTTGCCCTGAGCAGCAACGTGGTCTTACCACCTGATACGGAATCACCATAATTTGCATTTTCTCAATTAAGTAATTATGTTAGATTGAACACCGGTGTGATCTTACCAGCTTAAGGCCGTGTTCATGTGAAGTCAGTGAAGGCGCTTTACATGTGGTTTACCCCGAAGCCGGTTACGTTTCAAGTGGCTCCATCCGAACGCTCCAAATCACATTGAAAGCGCCTCGATCCCAAACCACTTCTAGAGGTGGTTTAGAATCGGTTTTCCCGCATCGCGATTTGCGTCTGAACGCAATGTGATTTCAATGTAACTTCGCCTGGTCATGGATTACGGAGTGATATTTCTTTATTTATATGCAATACCAAATTTTACGTGGCAGCAACTTAAAGAGAAGTAATGGTCAAATAATGTGTCCGCTCTAGGACGAGCTTCACCGCCTCTGGCAGGACCACGTCGGCATTCGGCCGAGATACGCTGGGAGGGGGGCGCCAGCAAGCAGGTCGTTGACCTCTGACAATTATAACATGCTACCTTGCGTGTTTTCATCAACAACAGCTAATGTAGATTAGAATAATCATTATCGGGCACGGTTTGAGAGGAATGTATGGTGCACGTGGACCAGATGTGAGTTACCCGAGTCGAGGTTCAAGCGTTTCCGTGTGAACAAGGCTTAAGTGACGTAACGTCGCACCACAATGCTTCACGGTTTAGGTTACTTTTTTCGTCCTATAGCTAGGGACTACATCAGGGGATGTAACTAAGACCTGTCTATTTACTCTTTACAACGATCTGATGTGGAAGTATACTAGCAACAAAATTAAACATTTGATGTTAGATGGAAAGTATTGATCTTTGGCGACTAGGGAGCAGAAAAAGGTGGAAAACGCTGTGGTCCTTTCTTTTATTTCCTCGCGCATTGATACACGACGATGAAGTCAAGAACGTTGTAAAGCGTCACTCCGAAAGTGAAAGTTCGTTCTGCCAACTACAGCTGTACAAAATATAAGACTTGGTGACTGTAGCAAGACTGGACAAGAAAAAAAAACATTGCGGAGACCCTAACCCTAACGCACGGCGATGAAATGCCCAAACAACCCTGCCCTGGATTAAGGGGCCAAGGTACAAGGATGATGGCAAAACGCTGCGTCATGTCGCGCATTGATACACACTGCGATGAAGTCAAGAACACTGTAAAGCGTCAGTCCGAAACTGAAAGTTCGTTTTGCCAACTTGAAGAAAGTTTGGCTTCCAGATTTTCTTAATTTTCCAAGTTCCACAGTCGTAGCCATGAAGCCGTTAGGTTGGTTGTGTGTGGCTGTGGCCGCCGCTTTCCTGATGGTGCAGTCTTCGGGCCAGGAGACGGGGCGTGTCCGGGACCTGCAGGTCCAGTCTTCGGGCCAGGAGACGGGGCTTGTCCGGGATAAGTCCCGCCAGATCCGCACGGTCCCCGCCCCGCCCCAGGGCGAATGTGTGCACATTACGGGGGGTGGAACGTCTGGAGTTCACTTCTACGTCTGCTGTAACAACTGTGACGAGAGCGGCGGGAACCCTACATGTGACAGGGTAAGGACATGTTTAATATGTTGAATCCAGAACCAGGCTCAGGCACGGTTATTCGTAGGTAGTCCACGCGTATCCACTGAATAGCTGACGTCACTTGGACCGTAACCGCATTCGTTTTCAGTGAAACTACTAGTATACAGAACTGTCTGTCCCTGATCCTAACCTAGTCTCCACCAGACTTCTTTGC